TCTGGTTGTCCGACTCTGAGACCGGAATCTTTTGCGAGCACCGGCTCCATTGGACCTTTCTGGAAACTTCCAACCTAGACCCGGTGGGCCCAGAAGCCGTGGCCTACGATGAGCTTTTAGCTTAGCAGGCCGGGTCACTGCCACCGGTTCACGCCTAGGGCAGACGCGCCGCCCGTAGGCTAGCCCTAGGTCTGAACCGTCTCTTCGCCTTCCGAGGCATTAATTACGGCGTCTTTTCACTTCTTGTCACCCTTCTCTTCTCCAATGAGAGGGCGACGCGTGGCCGTCCGTTGGGGTTCTCCCCCTTTTTAAATAGCCATCTTCTTCTCTCTTCTCCTCACTTTCTCCAACTTTCCATACTCAGCGCCAAGCACCTCCGATCCTCTCTGCAATTTCCTCAGTCCACACTCAGGTTGGTAAATGTCTTCCTCCTCCCCTTCTTCTTCTTCTCGTCGTCGCTCGGCTGAGAACCCAGCGGCGACTTCCCCGTCATCTTCTTCTTCTTCATCTTCTTCATCTTCTTCTTCTTCTTCTTCTTCTTCTTCTTCTTCTTCTTCTTCTTCTTCTTCTTCTTCTCCTTCTTCTTCTCCTTCTTCTCCTTCTTCTGCTTCTTCTCCTTCTTCTTCTTCTTCTTCTTCTTCTTCTCCTTCTTCTCCTTCTTCTCCTTCTCCTTCTTCTCCTTCTCCTTCTCCTTCTCCTTCTCCTTCTCCTTCTCCTCCTTCTCCTTCTCCTTCTCCTTCTCCTTCTTCTCATTCTCCTTCTTCTTCTTCTTCTCCTTCTCCTTCTCCTTCTTCTCCTTCTCCTTCTTCTCCTTCTTCTCCTTCTCCTTCTTCTCCTCCTTCTCCTTCTTCTCCTTCTCCTCCTTCTCCTTCTCCTCCTTCTCCTTCTCCTTCTTCTCCTTCTTCTTCTCCTCCTTCTTCTTCTTCTCCTCCTTCTCTTCCTTCTCCTCATTCTCCTCCTTCTACTCCTTCTCCTTCTTCTACTTCTTCTACTTCTTCTCCTTCTTCTACTTCTTCTCCTTCTACTTCTTCTCCTTCTTCTTCTTCTCCTTCTTCTTCTTCTCCTTCTTCTCCTTCTCCTTCTTCTCCTTCTCCTCCTTCTTCTTCTTCTCCTTCTTCTCCTTCTTCTTCTTCTTCTTCTTCTTCTTCTTCTTCTTCTGCTTCTTCTTCTTCTTCTTCTTCTTCTTCTTCTTCTTCTTCTTCTTCTTCTTCTCCCCGTCGCATGGAAATTCCGGACGGTCTTCCATCGACGTCTTCTTTTCAACCGACCCCCTCTTCTTCAGGGGCGGCTACTCCCATGAGCCCTGCTCCTCTAACGACGGTAGCGGTTCTGCCAGACGGCGCCGGACGGCCGCGAGGCAAGTTTGACTCTATCGCCCGGCCGGCCGGGCCACCGTCCGTCGTTACTGTGGCGGACCTGGACATGGCCCGCTTTTTACTTGGGCCTTCGGCCTTAGTCTTTGCCCCGGAGGGCCGGCCCATTCATGACCCACCGGAGGGTTTTGTGGGTATTCACTTGCACTCGGTTGCCTTCGGCTTCCGAGTTCCTCCGTGTCGATTTCTCTCCCTCTTCTTTCGCCACTATAATTTTGTTCCGGGTCAACAAGTGTCCAATTCTCATCGCCTCCTCACCTGCTTCATAAATCTCTGCCATTGGTGGATGTGTGAGCCGGATCTGGACCTGTTTCGGTATCTCTTTACTGTGAATAAGGTTGGCTCGCACTCGCTGGGCTTTGTCCAGGTTGCCGCCCGTCCGGGGCGACAGCTTTTCCAGGGGTTGTCCGATTCTATCAAGGACTGGAAGCCCCTCTACTTCTTTGTTCGTCCCGCTCTTTCTTCCTTCACCTTTCCGACCTTGTGGCCGGCCGCTCTATTCAAGCCCTGCTCTCGGCGCGCCGTCTTCTCTCAAGATGCGATCCAGGGTGGCGAGTTTTTGAAGGGCTTCGGGCCGTACTCCGTTAAGTACTGGTCTCGGGTCCGAGCCATGGTAAAACGAGGCTTGCTGCCAGACGGCGCGACCACCTTAGGTAGTTCTCCCATGCCTTTCTTTTCTCTTTCTTTTCTTGTCCGACTGCTAACACTAATCTTCTTCTGCTTTGCAGGTCCTTACGACTCCGACTCCACCAATTCCGACGAGGCTGCCGCTCCGACTCCAGAGATGGTTGACAGAGCTGAAAAGATGAGGCGCCGACTGACTCAACGCGCCACCGGCACTGCTGCGGCCTCTTCATCCCAGCCGTCACCGGCTCCAAAGTCGACTCCTCCACCACCACGTACGGTGGTTGACTTGACGCCGTCGCCCGTCGTCTCGCCTACTCGACTGCCTCCTCCTCCTCCATCTGAGAGTCCAAGCAACAAGCGGCCGGTCGAGCAGTCGGATGCGCCGGCTCCGAAGAGGATCCGGTTGAGTGTTGAGGTGGACGAGGATGCCCAGATCTGGCAAGGCAGTTCCTCCGTCCGCTCCTGGGCAGAACACGTTCTTCTTCCTAAGGACGTGGAGACGACTGGCGCCCTACCGGACGAGTACATCATCGAGGCCTCGCTTCGCCAATCATACCGCGTAAGTGTTTCCGTCCTGCTATTTTTCCCGCTCTTTTCTTCTTTTTATCTGACGTCCTATTGCCTTGTAGAACCTCACTTTCCAGATGGAAATGCGTAGGCGGCTGAGGGAGTACAAGACCGGGCTGCAGTCTCTTGCCACCCGAGTGCGCCAAACTGAGGAGGCTTTCTTGGCAGAGCAGGCTAAGCATGCCAAGTCGGTGGAGGTACACACCTCCGAGATGCTAAGGGTTACCCGTCAGTGGGAGGAGGAGTGGGACAAGGCTGCGACTATTGCTGCGACTTCGATGGAGGACTATAAGAAGTCGGCGGCCTTTGAGGCGGATGTGAAGGCGGCAATAGCGGCTCGGCAAAAGGAGATTGCCCAAGAGTGGCTGGCGACGCCGAAGGGGGATGACTACCTCCTGGATCTGGGCGAGCGCGACTATCGCCTTGGTTTCCGTGAAGCTCAGACGGAAACTTACGCCGCCCTGCTGGCCCGAGATCCTGCTTTTACTCCCGAGAGCTGGGGCCTCAAGCCACTACTAGACCTCCTTCCGGCGACTGATCAGCTCGTATCGACTGTGGATCCGGCCGCTCTCCCCGTGGCGGAGCCTGTAGATCCGGCGGTTCTACCCGTGGCCGAGCCTTCAGAGCTTGCAGAGCCCCCCTCCAAGCAGAGGATCCTTCTTCTGATCTCCCCGCTGGACCAACGACAGGAGAGCAAGTTGAGAGGGTCGACGTCGACACTCTCCCCCTAGTAGCTTAGGGCTAGTCTTTTTTAGATAGCCTTTTTTGTATGGGCTGGCCTCCTTCTCGGGCCTTTATTATTAATAAAAATTTCTTGCTTTTTGCTTCTTTTGAACGGTCTTGGCCTCGATCACTCTTTAACCACTTCGTGATTCTCAAAATCGAATTCCTCAATCGGGGCGACTCCTAAGGTTCGCCAGAAACATTTTTAAGGATTCAAGTATCCATCTCGGATCTTACCTCGCCGAGTCCCTTGGTCAAGGCGACTTCTCTTTGTCTTTTTCACGGAAACGACTAAGAGTCTGGGCCCTTGTTCCCTATCTCTCTCGCCGAGTCCCTTAGTCGAGGCAACCCCTCAGGCTTTTCCTTCTCTTAGAAACAGTTTAGGGTCAGTGCCCCGTTGTTTCTTTATATACTCGCCGAGTCCCTCAATCGAGGCGACCCCTCAGGCTTTTCCTTCTCTTAGAAACAGTTTAGGGTCAGTGCCCCGTTGTTTCTTTATATACTCGCCGAGTCCCTCTGTCGAGGCGACTCCCTTTGGCTTTTTCACGGAAACGACTAAGGGTCTGGGCCCTTGTTCCCTATCTCTCTCGCCGAGTCCCTCAGTCGAGGTGACCCTTTAGGTTTTTTCTATCTTAGAAACAGTTTAGGGTCAGTGCCCCATTGTTTCTCTATATACTCGCCGAGTCCCTCAGTCGAGGCGACTCCTTTTGGCTTTTTCTCGGAAACGACTAAGGGTCTGGGCCCTTGTTTCCTATCTTTTCTCGCCGAGTCCCTCAGTCGATGCGACCCTTTAGGCTTTTTCTATCTTAGAAACAGTTTAGAGTCAGTGCCCCATTGTTTCTCTATATACTCGCCGAGCCCCTCAGTTGAGGCGACTCCTTTTGGCTTTTTCTCGGAAGCGACTAAGGGTCTGGGCCCTTGTTTCCTATCTTTTTTCGCCGAGTCCCTCAGTCGAGGCGACCCTTTAGGTTTTTTCTATCTTAGAAACAGTTTAGGGTCAGTGCCCCATTGTTTCTCTATATACTCGCCGAGTCCCTCAGTCGAGGCGACTCCTTTTGGCTTTTTCTCGGAAACGACTAAGGGTCTGGGCCCTTGTTTCCTATCTTTTCTTCGCCGAGTCCAAGCAGAATTTGGCTGTAATTCGTGCTCTTTTTATTCAAGTTTCGAAACTTAGGTGCCTGTACATGGCTAACCTTTTTTCTACTGGTAGAATTTCTTCAAATGGATGACGTTCCAGATCCGGTCTATGGGCCTGCCCTCCAAGGTTTCAAGCTTGTAGGTGCCGGCTTGGACCACCGTGGCAATACGGTACGGTCCTTCCCATTTGACTACGAACTTGCCCCCCTCCGTGGGTTGACTCGCCTGCCGGTCTCGTAGCACGAGATCTCCGACTTGGAAGGTTCATGGGCGGATCCTTCGGTCTCGATACCTTTTTACAGCTTTTTGGTACTTGACCATCCTGGCGGCCGCAGCTTCCCTTCTCTCTTCTAAGAAATTCTTCTCGATTCGGAGGTTCTCTTCGTTCTCCTCGTCGGAATAACTGCGGACTCGGTGAGTGGGCTCTACGACTTCTATCGAGACCTTGGCTTCGAAGCCGTATGGTAGGGAAAATGGGCTTTCGCCGGTCGCTCGCCGTTGCGTAGTACGATAAGCCCATAGGACTCGGTCAAGCTCATCCGCCCAATTTCCCCCGATATCTTCTAACTTCTTTCAGATTCCGTCTACTATGGTCCGATTCGCGTTCTCCACTTGTCCGTTGGCCTGGGGGTATGCCACGGATACCTTGGTGTGACGGATATTGTGCCGACGGCAAAAATCGGTGAACGCTTGGCAGTCGAATTGTCGACCGTTGTCACTAACGATGTGCTCGGGTAGGCCAAAACGGCAAATCACCTTCTTCCATAGGAAGCGTCGACATTGATATTCAGTGATGGTGGCTAGAGGTTCGGCCTCGATCCACTTGGTGAAGTAATCGATGGCCACTACGCAGAATTTCAAGCTTCCCGGGGCGACTGGCAACGGTCCCAACAAGTCGATTCCCCATTTAGCAAAAGGGATGGCCGTGGTGACCGGGGTGTAAAAGGTGGCCGGTCGCGTGTCCTTCCTGGCGAAGGCTTGGCATACGCCACACTTTGCTATCCACTCGATGCAATCCCGCATCATGGTCGGCCAATAGTACCCTTGGACGACTAGCTTTCGAGCGAGTGTGTGGGCGCCCTGGTGGGCGGCGCAGATGCCTCTATAGGCTTCATCCATTATCTTCTCGGCTTCGGGCCTGAGCAGACATTTCAGAAGAGGACCACCAAATGATCGCTTGTACAACTGCCCATCGAGGATTTGGAACGAAGGGGCTTTCCGTCGAACCCTAGCGGCGACCCCCGGATCTTTAGGCAATTCGCCCGTCTCCTTAAACCGTCGGATATCCTCGATCCAAAATATCTCGGGGTTTTTCTCTTTGTCCCACTCTGCGTGAGTCACGTGCTGGACTTCCGACGGCGTCTCCTCGATGCTCGGCCGACTCAGCTCTTCCTTCTGGCAAATCTTGATGAGGTGATCTGGTACTCCTTCCAATGCGATCTTGGACAGTATGTCGGCCTCCACGTTGTCTGTCCGAGAGATATATTCTATTTCGTAGGCCCCGAACTCCTTTAACATCTCCACCGCCTTCTCCTTATACAGAGTCATCCGGGCGTTCTTGGCCTCACACGTTCCGGAGATCTGTCCGACTACTAATCTGGAGTCGGTCTTGATCCGTAGCCGTCCTACTCCCAGCGTCCTGGCGAGTCGAAGGCCATTCAGTACTGCCTCATATTCGGCCTCGTTGTTGGTCGTTGGGAACAAATAGCTCAGTGCATAATACAGTCGGAACCCTTCCGGTGTGATCAGCATAACTCCGCCCCCACAATGTTGTCGACTGGAGGCTCCATCCGCGTGCATCTCCCACCATTCGCCTAAGCCATCTTCTGAGGTGTGCTCTTTTTCCTCCTCTCCCGCTGTGCATTCGACCAAGAAGTCGGCCAAAACCTGATCCTTTATAGAGGGTCGTGGCTGATACTCGATCCCGTACTGTGTTAATTCCACAGCCCATTTCACCAAGCGACCGGACGACGAGGGGTTTCGCAGGAAGCTCCCCAGTGGTTGGTCAGTTAGTACTCGGACAGCGTGGGCTTGGAAGTAGGGCACCAACTTGCGCATGGTGATCACCAGCGCATAAACAATTTTCTCTAGGGCCGTGTACCGTGTTTCGGCGGCCTTCAAGGAGCGGCTCACGTAGTATACCGGGTGCTGGGCACGTTCCTCTTCTCGGACCAGCACCGAGCTCACCGCCTTAGGGGAAGTGGCCAAGTATGAAAACAGAGGCTCACCCACCTGGGGGGTGGTCAATACGGGAGGCGTAGAAAGGTATCGTTTCAATTCTTCGAACGATTGCTGGCACTCGGCTGTCCAGGCGAAGCCTTCCTTCTTCTTCATAGCTTCGAAGAAGGGCACGGTTTTGTCCGCCGCCTTGCTCAGGAAGCGACTGAGGGCAGCCAGTCGACCAGTCAACCGTTGCAGGTCTTTGACGGAGCTGGGAGGCTGCATATCGATGATGGCCTGGACCTTCTCTGGGTTGGGCTCGATGCCTCGCTTGGTAACCATATATCCCAAGAATTTTCCGCCCTGCACCGCGAAGGCACATTTCTTAGGGTTCAGCCGAAGGTTATATCTTATCATTACTTGAAAGCAGTCGGCCAGATCCCCCGCGTGCTTGCTCTCTTCCCGGCTTTTGACGAGCATGTCGTCCACGTATGCGGCCATGGATTTTCCCAACAGATCTTGGAACAGCCGGGCTACCATCCGGGTATAAGTAGCTCCGGCATTCTTGAGCCCGAATGGCATGACTCGATAACAATACACTCCATCCAGTGTCAGGAGTGCGGTCTTCTCTTCGTCGGCAGGGTGCATGAAAATTTGATGGTACCCTCTGAAGGCGTCCATGAAGCTTAACAGGGCCGACCCGGCGGTTTCGTCGACTAGCTGATCGATCCGTGGCAAGGGAAACGGGTCTTTCGGGCAGGCCTTGTTAAGGTCGGTGTAGTCAACGCACATCCGCCAAGCCGGGGGCTTGGGTACGAGGACTACGTTTGCCAACCATTCCGGGTATTTGACCTCGCGAATATGGCCCGTTGCCAACAACGTGCTCACCTCCTTTTTTACAAACTCCCTTCGATCATTGGCGAGATACCGTTTCTTCTGCACGACTGGCCGATGGCTAGGATCCACGGTGAGTCTATGAGCGATGATGGATCGGTCGACACCAGGCATGTCCTCCGGACCCTAGGCGAAAACCAGCTGATGCTCTCGAAGCACCTTAATGACCTCCTTTCGCACTTTCTCGGGGAGGCCGACCCCAATTCGGAGTCGCCTGTCCGGTTGATCAGGGTCAATCTCAACCTCCTCCAGTTCTACGGCCGGCTCCGGGTGAGGTATCGTCGCCTTCTTTGGAGGCCTTTCCGTGATCTCATGGACCTGCATCTCGCGCTTGCCCATCCCTCGGCAGGCCTGCAGGTAGCAGTCGCGGGCGACTCTCCTGTCGCAATGCACCGTGCCTATCCCACTTGGTGTACGGAACTTTAGGCAGAGATGCTCGATGGAAATCAAAGCTCCTAGGTCCTCCAGGCCCGGTCGACCGAGTATAGCGTTGTGGGAGCAGGCCAGGTTTACCACGATAAACTTTATACTAAGCCTCTGCACGTCGGGATGACCGCCAATATCGACAGGCAGGGTGATGGATCCTTCTGCCTCCACCGAGTCCCCCGTAAAACCGGCGAGTGGCGTTTTAACGGGGTTTAGCTGTTCTCGGGTTAGCCCCATTTTGTCGAAGGTCTCGAGGTATAGCACGTTGACGCTGCTCCCCGTGTCAACCAGGATCCGGCGAACGACTACCCCATTGATATCCATCGCAATGACCAGCGCATCTCGATGCGGCGTCTCTCCCGTGGGTAAATCTCTATCAGTGAAAGTGATGGGCTCTCGGCATATCTTCTTAGAGTTCTCCTCGCGCCCATATACCGTCCCGACATATAGCTGCCGAGCCCAGGCCTTTTGAGTATTCGCCGAGTCCCCACCTTCCGGTCCGCCAACTATCATATTGATAACCGGCTTCTGATGCCACTGAGCATCGTCTTCCTCAGAAGCCAGCTGCTTGCCCCGGCTGCTCTCCGTGGCGGCGGTGGGATCCCCGTCCCCCCGAGTAGCCGACCTCCGCCTCCACTGATTAGGAGGCGGGGTCCCTTGCTGGATGATACCTTCTATGATCTTCTTCAAATAGAAGCACTCTTCCGTGCTGTGAGTATAGGACTTGTGGTAACGACAGTATTTAGAGGTCTTACCTGCCTCATTGCTTACTGCGTGGTCGTCAGTCGGCGGAGGCGGAGGAAGAGCGACTGCTTGTATCTCGTGCACTGGCCGTTCAGGAACCGGCCTATAGGGGTGTGCGACGGGCTTGTCGTATGGCCGTCTGACATCGGGTAGCCGGGTCACTTCCGGGCGCCTTTCCTTTGTTTCGGCTCGCGTCCTCTTCCCACCGGCGGGTCCTCCGACCTCGCGTTGTCGTTTGTGCTTCATAGCTTGTTCCGTGTTGGCCCTCTTGTTGGCCATGTGTATGGCTTCTGCGTAGGTGGCCGGGCGGTTGTCCCGCAGATCTCTGTATAGCTGACCGGACCGCAAGGACTCGATGAAGAAGGTGAGCGCAGTCTGGTCCTCGACTTCCTCAATAGATTGGATTTCTTTCTGCTAGCGAGCTAGATAAGTTTTCAGAGATTCGCCTTCTTCTTGGTGAACGTCTCCCAGGTGAGTCAGATCCTTCTGAGGATTGATGTTGGCCGCGTAGTGGCTCATGAAGCGGTCGGCTAACTCCTCGAAACTATGAATCGACTTGGGAGGCAGCGCCACTAACCACCTTTGTGCTGAACCTTTCAGCGTGGGCAAGAAGGCACGACACATCACCGGGTCTCGCACTCCCAAGACCTGCATTTTGGCTTGATAGCTAAGCAGATGTTCGCGTGGGTCTCCGGATCCATCGAAGGTGGCTTGTTTCGGAAATTTAAAGTCGCCAGGTACTTTGTAGGACATGATCTCGGAAGAGAATGGCAAAGCGGTGAGCAACGTCTGCCCAGGGGATTTGGTCTTTCCCCCCATTTGTTCTTTCAGATCTCGTACCTCTATGGCCAATTGGGCCACGTCGCCTTCGTTGTGAGTGCAGTTTCCTGTGGACTCCGTACTTTTGCCGACCTCAGATTGGGCCGGTCGGTCATCGTTGCGCGTTACTCGCTCGGTCCGTCGTGTCTGAGTCTTAGTTTTTCTGGTGCGAGCTCTTTCTCGACCGGTTTCCCGATCTCGAGGTCCTGCTGGTGCGCGGCTGGGCTCCCTTTCTCTTAGTCGTTCTCGTGCAGGCTGCCGCCCAGCATTCGGACCCAGCCTTGAGTGGACTGATCGTACTGGCTGGCTCTCTGCCCGTTGATTTTCCTGTCCGTCTTCCGGCCTCTGGGACAGTTGTTGATGGCGAGGCATCGGCCGAGAAACCGACTGTTCCCTCTCACCTCGACTCGCGTCGGCGAAGGCTCGTCCGATCGCATGGAGTTGTTCCGGGGTGAGGGGTATCATAGGTGGCTGTCGGTTCACCGGACCCGTTTCATTTCCTTGACTTTGAGCATTTCGCTGGTTCAATTGGTCTCTTAGATCTGCCTCAATCCTGTTGTTTCGGTTGTTTGCTTGGTCTCGTCCTTCCGACATGTTTATGACGCTTTACCGTTCGACTTCGGGACTCGCCCTGCTCAGAAAGTCACGTAGCTCTTTGTATCGATCCCCACGGACGGCGCCAGTGTTGGTTTTTGGGTTTTCGGGCCCAGTGAGGTCCAACACAACCTTAGTTGGTGGATTCACCTTTCACACAAGATTGTAAAAGAAATGGAAATCTTTTTAATGGCTTCGAGTGTGTCTCTCTTTTCTCCCGGGATCAACTTGTCTGGATTACAAGGGTGGAGGAGCCTTTATATAGCAGGCTCCCCTCCTACCGACTTGAAGGCCATTAATGGCTGACTTCAAGGCTAATTACAATCACCGAGCCGTTGGGTGCCGTTACCGGATCGGCCAACGGCTCCTTGAATCCGTAACGGTCTGACCGAGTACTGCCTTGAATGCCTCCAACGGCTCCGGGGCCGGGTTTTTTAAATGAGGCTTCTCAACGCTCGCTTAATGGCTCTGAGCCGTTTCTTCATGGGCTTGGGCCTGGGCCAACTCCTGGACTCGGCCCAAGCTTTCACTGGGCTTCTTTCACTGTTAGTCCACGTTCCTTGTCTTGGATTCCCTTCTTGGGTTGGGGTTCTCACCCCATCAACTAGTCCCTCACTTTTCCACATCCGGTCCGCTAATCCGGATTTGGAAAAGAAGTGATTTAGTATTTGTTTGTGAGTTGTTGAGATTGTTTTGGACTTGTTTGGATTTGATTTTGCAGATGAAAAACCTTCTGGTGCACAACACAGTGTGCACCAGATCAGAGTCACGACCCTAGCCACGACTGTAACACCCCGTGTTACGGCCTTCAATCCCGGATTAATTATTTAATTAATCCCGTTAATAATAATTAAATATGATTTAATTCGGTTAGGTTTCCCTTTAATTAATTAATAAGGCCCACCATGAACCGTGGGCCCTTGCCTAAATTAGAGCCTTAAGCCTATTAGGAATAAAGAAAGTAAACCTTTTACTATTCAGATTCTGATTAGGAATCCTAGACCTAGTTATCTATTAGGAATAAAGGAAGTAGGTCTTTTACTATTCAGATTATGATTAGGATTCTCTTTAATTAATTAATATGGTCCACTATGGACCATGGAACCCAATCCTTAGTCCCAAAAGGAATAGAATTAGCAAGCCTATAATATTAGTTCCTAATTAGGACTCCTAAATATATAAATAGGGGACTTAAGAGGCACCTAGAACCCCCCATCACAATAAACGACTCACCATCCCAAAAGAGCTCCAAGAATTCCCTTAGAAGAAATCAAGAAAGCAAGAAAGCTTAAAGAAAGACCCTTCATAGCCAAGGAATTAATTAAGGCTAAGAGGTAACCCATGTCTCAACAAAACCTATTTTCATAGCTATGATTTCCCCCGTAGGATTTCCCCATATTATTGTATATTGATGAATTGTGATATTATTATTGATGTTTGATGTGATGATCCCATGAGGGATCTTGATGATCTTGATATTGGGAGATTCTTGATGATTATGGAATTCTTGATGATTATATAGAGTTCTTGGTGATTATGTGTTATTGTTGATGATTGTGTGATGCTCTTGATGTTTATGTGTTATTCTTACCGAATCTTGCAATTAGAAGACGAACCGTATACTTATTGATATAAAAGTGATTAGAACCCTAGGTTGTATCGTATGATATTATTCTTGGTGTATCGGGTGGGGAAATCGCATGTTCGGGTGTCGATTATGTTTAGAAAAGCATGATAGGTTATGTGCCGTATGTTTCTCGTATTTGATCCGTTAATTGTCTACGTGTTAATCGTTAATTGCGTTGCAAAGTGTCTAAGCATGGTTTCGGGTTCCACAACGGTTCCCGGGGCGCAATTGATGAAAAAGAGTCAGTGGGGGGTAGGTGGGGGGGTAGGGGACCCGCCACGTACCCGGTGCCGAGAATCACCGCCTGGCAGCGGGTGGCCGGCGGGCGGGCAGCTGCCCGCCGGCGACCCGCTACCCGGAACAGTAAAACCGGTGGGTGGCCCCCCACCCACCGGCTACCCGCTGGAAATTCATCCCAACTTGGGATCCCGGCTTCCCCGTTTGATGTTCCCCGTTCCCCGTGGTGTCCCAACGGACTCCGTTTATCGTGCCTTTGTCTAGTTTGATGTTTCGGGTACCGTTCGTAGGTTTATGAGTCTATTATATTGCATGCTAGTTGAATTGGTATCCCGTTGACCTAGGTGGAAGAAGCATGAACCCCTTAGGACTATTCTTAGTAAGTGATGGATCACGCATAGGTTTTGTTATACGTTTTCTCCCCCTTCCTAATGTGTAATGTGGGTTGCATGTGCTTGCTATGTGTTATGTGTGTGTTACCCCAATTCGGTTGCGATCGGATTGGTTATCCTGAGCTGCGGTTCAGAAGCTGGCTACGGTCAGATTGATACTCTTGGGCTGCGGTCCACCGTTTGGTTGCGATCAAACGTTTCTATACGAGCTGCGGTTTGTCCTTTTTCCTGGCTGCGGTCAGATGACATTCTCCTGGGCTGCGGTCCACTGTTTGGTTGCGATCAAACACTATGATGAGCTGCGGTTCATCGGTCGGTTGCGATCGAACCCTCCGTATTGCGATACGGGGCAGGGTGCTGCAGGGCCGTGTCAGAGCTATATGCGCTGACCCTCATGTATGGGCATGCGATTGGTCCTGTGGCGCCAACAAAGTGTGCTATGTGTTGTGACATGGACGAGTGGTGATCATGAGTGTCTTGGGGGATGTGACTATGGGATTTATGTTGGGGATTGTTTATGTTGGGTTGTGACTATTGTTTATGCTTTGCCTTATCTGCCTTATCTGTTGTGAACTGCGTATGTTGTTATAACTGTTGCTCGTGTCTGGCCTTATCTGTCGAGTCATTCCCGGTTTTAAAAGCTAGAGTTCGTAGGATATATCTTCATGCTCAAAATGGTTTTCGTATATCTATATATATCTCTATATGTATTGTATTTCAACGCGTTGGAGTGGGTTACCAGCATCTCTCGCTGAACAGATATATTTGGCTTTCAGGCACAGAAGAATAATTCACTGGAGCGCGCTAGAACTTGGAACGTAGAAGTAGATAGTTTCCCTTTTCGGCCTGCGTGCCATGCTTATGCCTTTACATTATTGAGGATATTAGTTAGTTAGCCTGTGCACCTGAGTTCTCTAGCTCAGGTGTGGCATAGCACCCCATACTCTTGTATTATGTTTTGGGATTTAATGGGATTTCACCTTTATTTTATAAGTTTTAAATGTCTTGAAAATCTGGGGTGTTACAACGACCCATCAGGAGGGTCGCTGGCTAGACCCGTGCATGCACGGAACTAGGGCACGACCCTAGGAGAGGGCCGCCGCCTAGCCCCGGTGAAGTGACGGGATACAAGGGGCGGACCATGAGGAGTTCCGCCCCAGGTCCCTGACTTTGATTTTGAGAAGAATCTGTGCAGTGGCTTGGCCCTTGTGGCCCAGCTACGTGTCGTTTCGGGCCGAGTGTTACGGGCCCGTGTGGCTCGGCTCTTCGGGACAGTCTTGACGCACGTTTTGGCTTTGATTTTGTTGAATTTGGATCTAAAACGAGTATGTTATGAAGGAAATTGTGATGAAATACTACACAGAGTATATATTTTGCTATGCACTGTATATGAGGAATTGTTATCTTTGTGATCTGTTTGATGATTTTATTAAGTATAGAAGCATGATCTTTTGAGAATGTGATTCACTTTTGTAGCATGATTAAATTGTATTATTTGATCCAAGAGAATAGAAGTTTATTTGTTGAAGTGAAATGTATAGAAGTTGCCTATTTGCAAATCGAGCATGACATTATATGTTGTATACTTCATGATACTTTATACATGATTT